CAACATGTTTTTGATACATACTAACGCTTAAATATAGTTTCAAAGATTTGAATTTGTTAAGTTTTTCAACGAAAACATAATTATCTCGGTCAAACATTAGTTTTCATTTTGATATAGATATAATCCAAAAAGACATAAATACTTTTTATGATTATTATATTGCTACAATCTGGTTTACTTTCGTTGTTATTTTTATTTTTTCTGTTCATAAAAGTATTTGCACCACATATGACTCATACATATAAGGTGACGCAAAGATTCTTGAAGGAATATATTTCGTTTATTGACAACAACCAATAAGTGTTCTGTTCTTGCTTGTTTGATACTCATAGACAAATTTCTTTTCAATCATTTTTCTTTCTGATATTGGCATATTTAATCAATATAAAAAAAAGTAGTATAGAATACAATTCATCATAGAACATGTTAATATAATGACGCATAGTAAAATATGAAAAAAAAACAGAAGTCAATAAGAATTTGCCATATTATCTTAGTATGCTATACTGCTCTAGTATGTTAATATTTTGATTAATATTATATAATCAATACAATATGCAACCATTGAAGAAAATAATTTTCCACTATCTCTGGTCTTTGGAGAGGTACAACAAAAATGTTCAAGTTATCTAAGAAAATAAATAAAACAGAATCATATAAAAATTTGTCTCTTGTTTTTATGGAAAATTTTATTCTTATTTGGTTAGATAGTAGCATTGATGAGATAGGTAATAGTGATTGTTGTAATACAATTACGACAAGTTGTTAATACGATAAATATATTTACTGATGCTGATTCTTACATTGATTTTATAACTAATATAAAAAAAGAAAAGATTTTTATGATTATATCTGGAGTTCTTAGTAAAATTATTGTGCTTATTATACATGATGCATTTCAAATCGATTGCGTATTTGTTTTTTGTTAAAATAAGTCAAGGCATAAAAAATGGTCAAAAGTAAGAGGTTTATTTGCAGAAATACTGTCTATATGTGAAGAATTAAAACGAGCTACACACCAATGTGATCAAAAACTATTTCAATAGGTTTCGCTTTGACAAACGAAGATATATCAAAACAATCAGTCATTCATATATACACAAATATGAAAAGAAATTTTATTGTCAATTGAATGTGATCAACAATCAATCAAAGATTTTATCGTTTATTGTCATCATTTATTCGCTAACAATTCTATTAAATTCGAAAATATCATGAACATAAACCAATTTGGAAGGTATACACATGAATATTTTCTATATTTGATGCTTAATCAAGCTTTATATACAATGGAATTTAATGCTATTATTATTAAAAATGAGCTTCTTCATTTGAGATCTTCATGAAGATATAATTCAAACAGATTTCAAACAATTGTTGACAACAAACGTTCGATTATTGTCTTTTAATAATTTTTTATCTACAAGTAATAATCAACATTTTTCACCTAATTTTACTCGTCGATCGCTTTTAAATTTTGATTTAATAGGTGTTCTATTTGCAATGGTAATTGATCCGTCTTGATCATCAACTCGATTCACCTCCATAAAAAATGTTAGCTGTTGTCATACAGAACGTGAAATTCTCTTTTCAATGCATAGTATTTTTCGTATTGATCAAATTAAACAAATCGAACATGATAATGTTCCTGAACGTTTTGATCTTACTGAACGGATACCAAAAGAATACCTCAGAATTGACAGGATGACATCATCTAGGTCAATTTTTAATCATGATTGGCCAATTGACAAAAGTTGAAGATTTATACAAAATATTAGTTTAAACAGTCTAGTGATGAAGGTGAGAAGGCCTATTTTTATCATTATTTTGATGTAATCAAAGATGGTCAAGGAGATTAAGAAATGGCAATTTATTTTTATGAAAAATCACTTGAAATAAATAGAGAAATTCTCTCTCCAAATCATCACTATTTATCTAGTTCATATAATGGTATAGGTTGGGCATATAATGCAAAAACGGGTGACTTTTCGAAAATATTTTCATCACATGAAAAAGCATTGGAAATCTTTCAAAAAAACTCTTTCTTCAAATAATACTCATATAACCTGTACCTACGCTAATATTGGTGCAACATACGATGGCATGAGCAAATACTCAAAAGCACCATCATATCATGAAATAGCTCTGCAAACTTTAAAAAAAAACTGTATCTAAAACTCATCCTTATATGATGACTTCTTACTGTGATATTGGTAAAGTATATAAGACGATGGATGAATTATTCAACGCACTTATATCTCACGATAAGACACTGGAAATTTATGAAAAACTCCTTACTTCTATAGTATTAGTCAGCTGCATGTAAAAATGCGTAGACACTCGACAGGACTTTCATTTATAGAACGTGCTATTGCCTGAAAATCATTATAATCTCAAGCTTTATAAAAGCAATCTCCGAGGATTTCAAAAAGCAATACGAATATTTCTTGTAGAAAAACAAAACCAATAAAGTTTTAATAGAAAATTACATTTTCCTTCCATGAAAAAAATAACAGGTTTTCCATAATAAGTGGTCGAATTTTCTTTTCTGTTACCATCATCAGCATGACTCGGAGTGTTGTCCTGTAGGAGAGTTCAAGTTGTGAAATAATCCCTGTTGTTATTTTTGGTTGCATTATGAAAATCTCTATTTTCACATGCCAGACTTGCCCTATAGAATGCTGATTTAAATTATGAATAAAACAGAAAATTTCCAGCGTTTCAGTATTTTCTAGCTTGGAATTTTTCCTCCTCATTTTGTTTGTTCTAAAACTTTAAAAATACAACTGAAAAATGCAGGATCTTGTGTTGAATATTGAAGTATATTTCGGATTTCAACAAATCTGTTTCTAAAAATTCTTTATAATTTTTTTGTGTCTTTTGTAGTATGTTTGGTTGAGTAGGCATTCATTTTGGCATAAGAAATTTATTCAAAAGACAAAATCAATAGATTTTTAGAAAAATAAACTCTTTATCCGATGAGATCAAAAACAAAATTTAAACATGTATTAAATACCTTCACAACAGAATTTAAAAATCAGCCATTTATTGTGAACCACCTATTATTTGCAGAAACACAGAAAAACCATCTTATAAAACAATATACTATAAATATGTAACGCTTATAGATAGAAATGAATAATTCATGAAAAAAAATTCATACTTTGAATTGTATATAATAATGACTCATAAATTTATTGTCCATAAAATAAAAATCAATACTAAAATATAATTACGTTTACTCTACAAAGTCAGCAAGAATTTCAAAACAACATTGTTCTTTAAAGCATTAGTTAGAAAATGAAGATGTTTATATTGATCATTAAGTACATTAAATACATTCTTACACAACCTCTATGAGTAATTGATCAACAAGTAACTCTAGATTATGCCTACAATGCATATTTTGCTTACAAAGTACGTCTGATTCATCGATTTTGTAGTCATTCCATATTTATTTTTGTAAAATGCTGTTTTAAAAAATGGTTAAAATCTGTATATATCGATAAGGAGACATGTAATATTACACGATGACAAATTTCACAAGTAACATGATAAGAAGGAAAAAAACCCAGCGGGTGTTTGGTGAAACCCTGTCTAGGCACAGAAAGAAAAAGGTTTGCCTCTATCAATTATCTTATGTTTACATAATTACAACAGCAACAGGTAAAAAAACCAAGGAAAGAAAAAAAATTTTAATATAACTTCAAGACATTGCAATACATCATTTTATATTTATTTAAGCAGTAAGTCAAACGAAATAACATGGTTAATTCTTATTATACCTACTTAATTGATAAGGCAAAAGAAAATTGTGCATATTTTCATTAGCTGAGGTAATACATAAAGCGTCCATTCGTATTTTTTCACTGATGAATGATTTTGAAAAATGAATATCATAATATTACTAATTGAATTGTTGATAATTTTATACTAGACTAGGATATGAAAAAGAATGAAAAGAAATAAATCATTATTTGTCCTCTTGCTTGTTAGTATTTTTTTCTAGTACAAATCAGAATTTATATGATCATAGCAAGAATGTTGAAGTCAACGAATATCTCAAATCTGTAACAGACATCGATAGTATTGTATAATGATGATTTGAAGATCGTTTCTAATCAAGTAAGATAATATAAAAACAGAATAAATGTTTACTTAAGTTCAATATTTGTTTCATTTGGATTCTTGATCAATTAATTCTTCATTCAGACAGTCAACTTGTCCCATGAATAGATATGAATTTCAACAATAATTCTGAATTAAATATTGATGATGATTTACTGATTTTATTAATCGATGGTAACTTTATATTCTATAAACTAACTTAATACTCTTACAGAGTCTCAGATTTATTCTAAGTCATATTGATAATGAGAAGCATCAGATATGTACTAGTCCTAGTTACCCAAATACCAGTTTTATCGGTCATGGACTCAGTTGAGTACATGTTGAACATAAATCATAATTAGTTATAATATAGCAAGAATAATAATCCAAGGTCTGAAATTAATGTATGTGTAAAAAAAAACAAAATATTACATGTGCGCCGTTCGTATGTGTTCTTTTTGTTGTATGTCATGGAGCAAAACAGCTGCCCTGTTGTATTTGAGATATGCGTCAGGAAAAAGAACACAACCCCGCTGTTTTTTTCGTTTGACGTCAATACGAAGGCGTCACTTTAATCATTTACCTATATAATGGACCTGAAATATTACATTTATAATATAAACCTTCGAATATAAAATGTGCGATAAATTGAATTATTTCCCATGTGCAGATTTGCTGATAGAAAAGACTAATACAAATCAATTTGTTAATATGATACCAACATTGTATAATTGTACCGATATAAAAACTAAACAGCAATCACAAAACATAGATCAATACGATAGAAAAAGCACTATGTCAAATAATTTACAATCAAGTAATTTGAAATACTTGTTTTTCTTTTTTTGTTTTACATGTTACACTCTGATTTTATTATATATTTATTAGATATGTTTATATCAACTGATAATCTATTTCAAACTAACGATTCATTCACTCGATCGAATACTATTGATGGTAAGTGTTATTACAGCAAAAAGCTTTTTTAATATAAAATATTTTCATATTAATTATTTCAGATGCAATTCTTACAGAAAGTATTGTTCAAGACTTAGATGAATTGTTCGATAACCCATTGATATTCAATGAAATTCTACCATGTATGTCAATTGTGCTTTGTTTATAACAAGAAAATTTATTTATTTATTTATTAACTATTCTTTTAGTTGATCCAATAGAGTCGACAACTGTAATCCCTATAGATTGTATATCAGGTATGTTTAGATTTTAGAATAAATTAAAAATATAATTTAAAAAAAAATATTTTATTTGTTTTATAGAGCTAAATGCTTTGATACAACGCGATTCTATACAAGTATCAAATGATTTAGAATGTCAAAAAAAATGTAAATTTTATTTTTGTTTATTTATTTATTTGAATTATTTGAATTTTCTTATTTTAGTTCTTGAATCTAATATTATAAAATTAGAAAAAATTGAAATAAAATGTCAACCACGTTCAGAATTCCGTCCTCGAACACAAAATGAAAGTAAAACTTCTTCACATTATATACGATGTGACAATGGTGCTGAACTAGATTATCCTTCTATAAGTGTAAGTCATCAATTAATAATCTTCTAATAGATCAAAACAAATTTTTCTTATATTTTAGGTACCTGTGATATGGGCTTGCCAATCAGATACAAATATTATTGAAGTTGCTCTTGTCGATATTCAAAAAGAACCACATCCCTATTCTATTCATAATAAAACTAGTAAAATATCATACGATGATGAAGCATTAATTTTCAAAGATGGTCCACCAAATCAATTGTATTTTCGTTTAATCGATACAGATTTTTAATGAATTCAATCATG